ACAATATAGGCAGGTAAGTTCTCATCACAATTATGTAGATGTGCTATGGTTTCAGGAAACATTGAACTATCATCTTTTTTAAAAAATTTGGGATAACTAAATTAAAAAATTAAACTACTTTCTCATTGTGAACTCTTATCAATAACTCTCCTAGCAATAATTTAAATATTTCGCCCTGTTTATATATCTATATTACACACTATATCTATATTACACAAAATAAATATTACAAAAAGACCCAGCTTAGTTCAATATGGTGAAATGCTAATATGATAGACCATCTATGATATAATCATATCTCTAAGCCAGCAGAGAGCTGGTATTATGATCAACTTCTCTCTGTATAGCACATTCAGCTTATCAGTGTAAAAGATAACAAAATGTTCTTGACACTTTTATAGACTATTGTAGATTTGATCATGTATTAGCTAATTTCAATGTATCTATTAACAACAAATGCCAATAAGCCTGCTGGTAATAGACATCCCTTCTGTTCCGTTTAGATTTTGGATATTTATACATCACTTCTGGACATCCAACAACAGCAGAACACTGTAAAATCAAAAGTTATGCTATTTCGAAAACACAAACTAAATTTTCTTAATAACTGACTGGACATAGCACAAAAGGCAATGCAATATTAAAGGCATGCTAATTTAGTATATTGTGTAAACATGCACTTTACATAGCTATTAATCTCAAGGTGGCTGTTTTCAAGCTTCAGAGACTACCCAGAGCACACTTCCTTGTGTCAGTAGCTTTTGTTGGATGGCAGTCATCACCTTTCCATGGTCAATGGGAGGAAAGAGGGACAGTACAAGGGAAAGATGTACTTCTCTGTGGGAAGATTTGGCCTTGGAGTCCGGGCTTTGGAGGTGCCCCAGTGATCTGGGATCGATGCTGTTTTATTTTCTTTCAGGGATAAATCTGAGCAATGGAATGGCTTACGATTGTTCAGCCAACCAGCCCTATCAGATTTATCATAGAGAAAGAATGAAAGCTGGTTTAGAGAAGTCCTGCCGTGGCTGAGTGGCAGGTTGCAGGGACACACACACACACACACACACACACAAATGAATACACTTAGTGGTGGGAGGGAAAATATATATTCACATGTGCATAAACTCAAAGAATATGCAAGGAATCCATAGTAATGGAAGGGGTGAATGTATGAGACAGATGATAAACAGTACTTCTATTTAAGAACCAAAGAGATGAACTCTCATGAATACTAAATATTTGAATCCACTTTGAGGAGAAATATGATTTTCTATCAAGTGAATTCAGACTTTAAAACATCAGCCAATGCAAACGTTGTGCCCAGGTTAGAATAAAAAATACATAAATCTTTCATCACATGCAAGCCCTAATAAATGTTCTGACGTGATTTCCTAATTAAGACACATTTCCAGGGACTAAATGAAAATATGAATATATACAAAGCTGTAAGTGCTTGGGTTTTTTTTTTCAAGTAATTTGGACTTCTATGTTTGCATGATTAAAATAAAGGCAGATGAGTTGACATGAAAAACAAGGGATCGCGACAGAATCAGAGCCATGACTTCATCTCAGCCGTAGGAAACGAAAGTGTTTTTAAGTATTTTGCAGTTACAGTGAGAGGCATCCATCTATTTAGAAGGCTTCTGAATGGAAATGTGTACTCCTACAAGGCTCTCTTGTGTACACATGCATGGTCTTCAAAATTAAAGGAACAAAGGGGCTATGATAGTCTACCCGTGGGCATGCTCACTGCAAATACATTGGAGAGACAATTGATATGTTCTAGAGAATCTCTGCAGTATTTCTGTCATTTAACTTTTATTAATGTTTCCTTCTCATATGTAAAATACCACCTAAAGTTTGGGTAAAATAATATACCTTAAGTTTGTAGGCGATGTGTGCACTTTAATGAAATGAAAAGCAAGGAGACTAAGTATCTTGCACATGAAGACGAGAATGAACTTATCCATCACATATTGGGGCTTAGGAGGACGTCACTTCAACACTACTGTATATTTTTATTTCAGTACAGCAGTGATATTGGTAAGTCCCACCATAGAAAGAAGGCAAACACTTTAACTCCTTCGAGTGGAATTGTCATATAAAGGCCTTAAGCTAAAAACATTTATAGATAAAATTTATCACCAGTAATGAGTCAAAAATTCTCCGGTATTATTTTAAAATACTCGAAAGCTGACTTGCCTTCCCTCAAGCAAAATAAAAACAAGTTTTCTTATGTACAGTTTTCCCAAGAAAGTCTTGAAGATCGCAGGAGAGAATCTCGCGCTGTATGTTTTATTCCGTCCACACACAGCAGTAAATAAGGTGCATTCCTTCTGCTTAAGAAATTAGCATTTCAAAAATATGCCCCTCTCCCCTGAACTCCAAGCGTGTCTAATAATGCGAAAAGCAGATTGTCTTCCCTCGTTTCCTTAATTTGTTTCATCTAAAAGCAATTCACTCAACATCTTGTCGCCCTCTGGCAGCCTAGTTTACTTATCCGCACTTAATTTCTCATTTGGACCAAAACAAACTCCTCCAAACTGCTACTGACTTGCTAACCGCGAGAGAGGAAACGCGCAGTATGTATTTACTTGGATAGACAGTCACACACGTACAAGCACCGCCACAAACACCGAGGCTCGCTTTCACCAGACAGCTACGTGTTTTATCACAGCGCTACATTAAAACCAGCTGAACTTTCTCTGCCAGGTGCGGTGGGGCGCCTGGAAAAAAAAAAAAAAAAGTCCCTTGGGGGCACTGACAGTTTCCAACAGATCACCCAAGTACGCTTGTTGCAATTACAGCAGGGATGCACCCAAGAGCCTTTCTTTGTGCGGCCCTTTCATCTAGATCACTTTGTGTTTTGAACAAGTGAGGCTCTCTTTTGTGCCCCCAGAATTTCAAGTACAGAGTCACACACGGAACAACAATGGCACGCTAATCCCCGTGCTTCTAAATGGGCTCACTTGTGGGTCTGACTATTCGTCCAGGGAAAAGAGCAGAGCAGAGCTAGGGCGCAAGCTGGTGTCGTCTGAGACGTGGAAGGGGACAGCTGCAGAACTAATTTGGATTACATTCCTTGCCTAAATATTGAAAAGGGCTTTTCGGCATAGCCCTACCGGGAACTGCACGGTTAATACTAAATTGCTGCGGACTTGAAGCAGGGATCCCCCAGCGGCCCAGGCTACACCAGACAGCCCCCTGGTAGGGTGGCCTGATAGAAATTCCTCTCGGCTAAGCCTGCGTGACAGTAGCAAGTGTTTTTGAATGGGTCAATGTGCATAATCAGCCCATTGAGGGGAAAGGCGAAAAGCTCCGAGTGGCTAGCCAGGAGAAGCATGTATCTAGGCGGCCGCCTGGAATCTCAAGTCCTGGCTGCTGTGATTCCAGAGGTGACTGGAGCACCGTAGCTGGTATGCACGAAGAATTTCGGAGTCACTGGGAGTGTGCAAACGGCCAGCACAAATGGCGCACATGTGCCTTTCGAAGGTCATTTTAAACGGCTCTAAGACTGTAACTTGTTATTTACTAGGCAAGGAGGAGGAGGGGGGGCGGAGCGGGAAAACTAGCAAGCTGCTGCTTTCTCGGTGAGGTCAGAAGGACACCCTCTGGGGACCTAAAGCTCTCCCTGTCACCACTCCTAAACGCTTTATCTCTTCAAGCTGACTCCCACACTCCCGCCACCAGCCCCGGAAGGTTCCGAAAATCTCTCTGCCTCTCCAAAAGCCCTCTTCTCAGCCCTTTTGGTCGCATCAGACACACCGGTTCTCCTTGGTCCTTTCTTATCCCCTCTTCTTATCCCGGGGAAACTCCCAAGTGTCAAAAAAAAAAAAAAAAAAAAAAAAAAACTTTGAGCTCCATGACACTGGAGCTGCTGTCATTGGCCCTGGACGCCCCAGCATGCCCAGTAACACCTCTTGGACTCAATTAGTTCTTTTTTTTTTTTTCTTTTCTGTCCAAATACCTGGGGCTGCAGCGCTTGGGCCAACAGCGGCCGATCTCAGGGCGCCGCCAAGGCGGCCGCCTCGGACTAAGTCACTGAGCGCCACCCGTGGGCTCAGCAGCCCCGCAGGGCAGTAAACAGAAGTTGGAGGGACTCAGGCCAACCTCAAGTTAGAACTCTTCCGGGAGCAAGCCCTGCACTGGGCGGGAAGGTCGGGCTCTGTGCTCGTTCTACGAGACTTTTTTTTTTTTTTTTTTTTTTTGATTAAGAGATCCTGCAGGCAGGAGAGCAAGCGACCCCAAAGTCAATTGCAAGACAGCTCCGGGATGTCAACGGAGAAGCCCAGTGACCCGGGCTCCTGGCCTAGGCGCGGGTCCGGTGCGCTCCAGCTGCCAGGGCCAGGCTCGGCGTCCCGGGTGACCCAGCCGGGTACGGGAGAGTCGAGCTGGCCACTGCACGCAAGCACGCTCAGGTGCCAAGCCGGGCTCCCGGCCCGCGCTCCACCCGCTGCAGCCCTGCACCCCAGGAAGGCCGGGCAGGAGCAGCCTAGAAACATCTCTGTGGCCAAAGAGGTGTAGCAATTCTATCTGGGTTTGGTTTTGTTTTTTGTTTTTTGTTTTTTTGTTTTTCTTCTTTTTCTTTCTCTTTTTTTCGCCTGCCCAGCCCGAAGAGGAAGGAACCTCCACTGACCAGCTCCTGTCTCCCACGTCCCGAACAACGGGCTCCACCAGAAGCGATCCCGCTTAGGCTCCCAGAAAACGCGCGAGAAATAAAGAAGGGGGCTAAAGACGGAGGGGGGCGGAAAATAATACCGGGGGAGTCAGGAAAGCGGACTCATCTGCAGCATCAGTAAAAACACACGCACGCACGCACATAAAGGTAAGTTTGGGTTGGAGCGAGGGGCGACCCAAGCCAGAAGCCCCTGTCCCTCTGGTCCCTCGAGCCTGGGATCCAGTGGGTGACATGGGGCCGAAAAGGAGAAAGGAGCCACCCGAAGCGGTGGCGGGTTCAACAGCTGGAGCGCGAGAGGGAACGGCGAGACCGCGCGACCCACCTGACTGCGAAGCGCTGGGCTGGACGGTCCCCGTTGCCACAAGAAGGCTCCCCCAGACCCACAGTCCCGTCGCCAGCTTCATTTTGGGCAAGTCTCAGATCCGGCGCTGACAATTACATGTCCAAATGGCATAGCCCCTTGCGGGCACGCGGAGGAGCTTTTCCCCCCTCAGCCGGGAGCGCGTGGGGAGCGCGAGAGGGGCGGGCGCTGCGCGCGGTGCACGGGCTCCAGGGGTTGGCGAGTGAGCCGGTGGCTTCCAGGGCCGGGGGACCCGGGGATTCGGCCAGGGACCGCGGGAGAGTGCGCGCCGGTGGGAATGAGCGCGACTGTGCTGTGCGGCTGGTGCTCCAAGCAGGACTGTACAGCTATTTCCCCAAGTGATCCTCCGCTCGCTCGCTCCCTCCTCACTTTCTCGCTCGCTCGCTCCCCCTCTCTCACTGGTTGGTCAACAATAAAAAGAAAGAGGGGGAAAAAGGCTTCCAAAAAAAGTTGATTGCAAAGAGGCGGCAGGGTTCCGGCCTGTTTCCCAAAGCCGGGCTATGTTCAGCTCTCTCTCTCCAGTATCTTTGCACCTCCTGTCCAAATCTGGAGGGAAAAGGAGAAGGGGTGGGGGTACTTCTTTGCTTCTCCTCGAATCTGTCCCCCTTTTTCCCCCTGTCAGTTTTCCTCACACTTGTCCAGCCATTTCGGTAATTAAAGCTCCGAGCGTCATTTCCAACGCTCCACGGTCTCCAGCCGCAGCCCCACAGAGAAATTAATAAGACTCGGGGAGAATGAAAAAAAGAGAGAGAGGGGGGAAAAAAAAGAAAGAAGAGGGGGTGGGAATCAAACAACCCTCCACGCAACCAGCTAGGCTCTCCTCAGCTGCACAAGCCCCGCCCCTGCTCTGACCATGTAGCCACGCCCTCCCCCCAAGGAGAAATCTTATTGGCTCAGACACTCCCCAAAATCCTTGGCCTCTAGAGTTGGGAAAACACCTGTCAGGCAGAGGGAGCTGCCTGGTGGTTTTGGGGAAGAGAAATCTGAAAGACCCAATGGCATTCACTGTATGAAACGCTTCCCTTGTGGCTGCCCTAGCAAAGGCCCAGGACAGCTGGCCGGAGGAGTAATCAGTACCCCGGAGGCTATGCTAGTCGGACGATTTTTTTTTTTTTTTTGATACAAGAAAATACCTTCTTTATTATTGCTCCTAGGTGTCAGTCCATACACAGGACTTTCTGGAAAAACAAAGTTGACGTTGCTTTGGACGAAGTATCTCGGTTCCTCTCCAGAACCCCATTACGTTCCAAGCTTAGTATTTTAAAATAGATATTGTAGGTAACCAGCAGCCTCGCAGGTAAGCTGAAACCTAACAGCATTTCCTCTTCCAAAAGTGCCATCTCTCCCACCTTCCGAAGATGACACTGTGCAGAACTAAAATTCCGTATTTGTAAAACCACATCCTTCCATTCTGAAATTATGCAAACTATATCAAGCCTACGCGGTTCACTCTGAAGGAGTTTGGGAGGTCAGGTCGTGACTATCGGACTCAAGACATTAGGCTTAGTCCATAGCACAGCCAGTTTGAGGCCTTGTCCTTGTTATCACTTTGCAGAGTATGTGATTTCCGTGTCAATGGCAGCTGTGAGACCAGTTTCTCTAAGCCTAAAAATGTCCTGGAAGGCGCTGCTGTGGACTGCAGGGCCACAGTTCTAAACCTCTCCGAGCCTGGGCTCTGCAGCCCTTAGAGAGCCGGGGTTACAGCTTTGCTATGTGGAAGGGTATAATTCTATGTAGGGATTTTCTTTGTCGTCTCTATAAGCAGCGAATAAATAAATGTGAAATATCAAGGGTGCTTTAGAACCGAACCACCCTGGTTCTTCAAGCACCACTCATTGGCCTCCCACATCTTCTGCCTGTGAGCCCATCCCTTAAGAATTTTCAAGCAGCTGCAAGCGGCAATAACAGAAGGCTGAAGCTCAAAACGTTTTCTTGGACCCACTGCATGTAACAGGCCCACTGCAGGTCTAACAAGCTGAACGTGCTTTTTACCCAGAGGCAGCTAAATCTCAGTTCAGGTAGTCTTGACCTGTAGTTTCCCAGTTCTGAGTTAGTGAAACACTGAACGATACCTGGCCATTTGAACAACATCTTTCAACCCTCCGAAATGGACATGAAAGTTGTGATTTACAGAAGCATGTCGTAGTGAGCAGTGACTAGTGTCCTGTTTCAGAGCCTAGCTGAGATGAATGCAATATCAGAAACAGATGTAGAGAGAACGTGCCATAAGAAGGAGGGAAAAGTCCCCAAAACTGGGGCTTTATATGTCTGCTCTCTTCAGCTTCCCATGTCTGCTAAGTCAGCAGAAGGAGGAACACTATCACAGAGAACATTTTCTACCTGGTATGGGAAGGACATGCTATCTGAATTGCCAGAGGCAGAAATAGATCTCTGTGTTTCCCCACTTTCCTGTGTGACATATTAATATAATCTTATCAGTAGACTAAAATGTGTTGCTGAGACTTAAAACCTGGGGTGGGAGGACCTAATTCACTTGTTATTTAGCAAACTCCAGACAAGGAACTGGAATGATTTGCTGACCACCCCTTCCCTCGGTTCTTCCGTTTTGATTCTGGAAATGCACCCATTTTGCAACTCTCTAGTGATTATAAGTCAGACGCATGAAACAAACAAAAATGCCTCAGGCACTACTGAAGAGATGGGAGATAGTCCTTTCTCCCAAGTCTCTTCCCTGGGATTTTTGTTCCTGGGAAAGAAAAGGTTCACATTCAGTCTGTCTGTGCCATGAGAAAGAATGAAGCTGTCGTTTGAAAGGAACAAAAGTCCAGATGGGTCTGGAGAGTATTCAAGCTCTCCATGTAGTGTTTTCATTAAGCTAGTTCAGTTTTCATTCTGTTATCTGAAACTAGAACTGTACGGAATGAGGAAAAAAAAAAAAAAACCTTTGTAAGTTGAATGAGATTGTGCGGGTCCACATTCTCCTTAAAAAGGGTGTTTTCACATGGGCTACGCTCGTTTTCTGGTCTATCTTCTCATCAGTTCCCAACACCGACCTTTATTTCTTGATATTTTGCCGTATCCCTTGCCCTTTCATGGGTGATTCAATGCTGCTAGTTATAGAAGGACTAGCATGTGGAATTAAGAGCCCATTATGGTTCGATTATGAAGAGTCACCTCAAAAGACCCAAATGTTGCAGGTTTAGCTCCTCACCTTCACCCCCTCAGCTAGTGGTAGTATTGAGAGATAACTCGATCACAAGGACGGTAATCATATTAACTTAAGACATCCAAAGGTGGGCCCTTGGTTAATGAAGTACATCTCTGGGCCAATGAGGGGAGATGTGCTATGCCTTTGAAGGCATATCTCCTCCTTGAGTCTTTCTGTTTTGCTTCCTGGCAGACATAGGTGAGAGCAACTTTGTTTGACTGCATACTCTCTGCCTCAAAGTCCATATTGTAAGCAAATATATCTAAAACCATGAGCCAACATGCATCACTACTTTTCATTTGATTTGCTAAGTTATTTTGTCACAGCAATAGAAATCGTCTAATATAATCTTTGACACTACCTTACAACCTCGTCGCAGGCCTTTAATCCCAGCACTGAGGAGGCAGAGGCAGGCAGATTTCTGCAAGTTTGAGGCCAGCCTGGTCTGCAAGAGCTAGTTCCAGGACAGGTACCAAAGCTACACAGAAAATCCCTGTCTCAAAAAACAAAAACAGAAAATAAATAAATATTTCTCGCCATTGGTCATAAATACAAATTGAAGTCAAATAAGGAAGCGAGACTATAGTATAAATCAGTTCACTTCTCCTGATTATTTAAACATATGTTTAGGATTTTAATTTTACCTTCTGTCCATCATTATCCAAGTTATTTTGTGATCTCAAGTAAGTCATTTCATTAACTTATGTCCATTGCCTTGTCTTTAAAAAAATGGGTAATGATATCCTAAATCTAAGATATTTCTATGATTTATCAACCACTGACTGAGAATAAGTTAAAATGTCCCTATGTCCAAAATCATGCTGGCATCTTACTCATTCAGTGCTTGCAAAACTTTCCATATAGCAAGACATCTTCCACTGCTGTTTTTAAACATTCGTTTTGACCAATGCCATGGAGTAGGTTTTCTAGCTAACATTTATTTTTCAGTTTTGAAACCGTGGGAGTCCAAGATCAAGTTACTGAGTTGGTGCTGTTGAGAAGCCTCTTCTGGCATACAGATAGAGCTCCTTTATGACTCATTACAGGGAAGAGAGAAGGTGGCCATCGCGCTCTTACAAAGGAATTGATCCCACTCTTGAGTGCTCTTCCCTGATGACCTCATTGCCTCCGACAGCTTTCACCTACAAATATCTCATCAAGTAAAGACTTCAACACTTCTATATGTGTGAAGCTGGAGAACAAACATGAGCTTCTGGAAATGTATAAATAGGGGTACAACTATTTTGACTCTTATTGGAAAGGAGAAATAGTTATAAAAAAAAACATTGTAGTCAATATTGCCACAACAAACCAGAGAACAGGCACCATTTTAGATGGTTTTATTTGGTTGGTTTACTTAGCATGTGAAATAACACATTACTGTCCAGTCGAGTTTACAGAATTCTAAGTTAACAGATATTCTCTTTTGATTACAAAATGAAAACTATTAAAATTCAAACGTTTTTTTAAAAAAATGAGCATATATTAACTAAAGAAATGTTTCAACTTGGTTTAAGTTAACATCTGAAAAGAATCTCCTCAAGAATACTTTGCTTTGGGTTAATATTATTTTCCTTCTATGTGAATCATCAATCCTCAATTTTTTAAGCAGTAGGGAGGAATGACTGAACACAGATAAATCAAATCTCCATTGCTTTTATGTCTGTTCATCAGCATCTGCCCAAATTTTAAAAGACATTTATAGTTTGTATTAAAAATTGCAAAGCAATTCCAGCTGTATAGACAAACAGCTTTTTAGGCAAAGATGAATTTCCTAGTTGAAACTTTTCTTGTAGATCAACTCTACATTATTTTATTAAACTATGTTCTTGTGTCCTGTATGTATTTCTTACATTCCTGCTCTATCTGTCTTTTTTCCTTCACAGACAGTCTATTCATGTTACAGTTAAGTCACTGAT